CTCCCTCCCACTCTTTCACCTTCCTCCTCTCCCTTCCAATCGCCCACTCCCTCTCCCCACACCCCCCTTTCTCTTACCCCTCCCCCCCTTCCCTCTCGCCATCCCCACACCCATCCATACTCTCCCCTCCTACCCCATCCTCTCCCCATCCCCCCATCCTCTCCCCATCCCCCCCATCCTCTCCCCACCCCCCCATCCTCTCCCCATCCCCCCCATCCTCTCCCCACCCCCCCATCCTCTCCCCACCCCCCCATCCTCTCCCCACCCCCCCCATCCTCTCCCCACCCCCCCATCCTCTCCCCATCCCCCCATCCTCTCCCCATCCCCCCATCCTCTCCCCACCCCCCCATCCTCTCCCCACCCCCCATCCTCTCCCCATCCCCCCATCCCCCATCCTCTCCCCATCCCCCCATCCTCTCCCCATCCCCCCATCCTCTCCCCACCCCCCCATCCTCTCCCCATCCCCCATCCTCTCCCCATCCCCCCCATCCTCTCCCCACCCCCCCATCCTCTCCCCATCCCCCCCATCCTCTCCCCTCCCCCCCATCCTCTCCCCATCCCCCCCATCCTCTCCCCTCCCCCCCATCCTCTCCCCACCCCCCCCATCCTCTCCCCACCCCCCATCCTCTCCCCATCCCCCCCATCCTCTCCCCATCCCCCCCATCCTCTCCCCACCCCCCCATCCTCTCCCCACCCCCCCCATCCTCTCCCCATCCCCCCCATCCTCTCCCCATCCCCTCCCCCCCAAACCCGTGCAATCATGTGTCCTGCAGTCTGAGTCGCGTCTGCAAAGGCGTCTCCGCTTCCGCTGTATTTAAATCCCCTTGACTCGCTCTTATCCCTCGCCCTCGTGGCCTTGAGCGCCGCATCTCCCCCTACCTCCTCCCCCCTCCCCCTTTCTCCCCCTCCCTCCCTCCCTCCCCCTTCCCCCTCCCCTTTCTCCCTCTTCCCTCTTCCCTCCCTCTTTCCCTTCCCTCCCTCTTCCCTCTTCTCTCCTCCCTCCCTCCCTCCCTTCCACCCCCCTCCCACCCCTCCACCACCCCTCCCTCCCCTCCCTCCCTCCTCCCACCCCTCCACCCCTCCTTCCTCCCTCCCTCCCTCCCACCCCTCCACCCCACCTCTCTCCCTCCCCTCCCCTCCCTCCCACGTCTGCACGAGTAGCGCAAAAACGCCCCCCAAAAGAGCGCTAATCCACCGATACGCCCGTGACGACACTAAGTGGGCGTGCGTGCATCGCGGGCGCCGCTTGTCTCCTGGAGGTGAGTTTGAGAGACTGCAGCTCCGGCCTCGTTAGTCTCGGCTCGTCGTTTGGGGGATGCGCTGGAATGAG